CACTAGGTGTTTATCTAATACAGAGACAAAATGAGCAAATACAAATAAGAGGTAAAAACAAACCAGGTGACCAAGTCCAACTATTTCTGATGCTGTTACCAAGGAGAAAACTGCCCTGAAACTCCTCACAGAAAATTAGTATCTAATGGAATAAACAACCCTCTAAACATTTTATTATGTAACATCTTTTATGTTATATATTTTGGATCCAAAAATATGTAACATAAAATATGTTACATTTAAAAATAATAGACAGCCGGGTGCAGTGGCTCACACCTGTAATCCCAGCACTTTGGGAGGCCAAGGCGGGTGGATTACGTGAGGTCAGGAGTTCGAGACCAGGCTGGCCAACACGGTGAAAACCTGTCTCCACTAAAAATACAAAAATTAGCTGAGTGTGGTAGTGGGCGCCTACAATCCCAGCTACTTGGGAGGGTGAGGCAAGAGAATCATTTGTATCCAGCAGGCAGAGGTTGTAGTGAGCTGAGATTGCACCATTGCATGCCAGCCTGAGTGACAAGAACCAGACTCTGTCTCAAAAAATAATCATAGACAAAAAATAAAATAGACCAAATTTAAAGACATAAATACTTGATAACTTTGCTCCTAATACCTATTTGTTATTTTTGAAAGTTAATCAAAACCTTGATTTTATTTCTAGACCTGTGTAGATTCCTACTTTTAAATTCACCCTGAATGTACATTGGCAATAGAGCACTTCTGAAACCAGTGGAAGCTTCTGGAACTCTCAACCTTGTTTGGTATTCAAAGATCTTTCGGTTTCTTTCAGTAGATGGTTTTCCCTCCGCTGTGCCCCAAGGAATGTAATTTGCCATCTGTGCCTGTTTGAGACCATTGAAGAGCCCCTTTGCTTGCCCTGTGGCCTTCCCAGTGCCTAGGAAGGTTGGCTCCTCCGCCTTCCTCTGTTCTGTGCCTCTTCCATGAAGTAGAAGCAGGAAGAGAAAACACACCCCTAACAATGTGAAGTTGGCATCACTAGATGTTTCCAGTGATAGGAGTAATTTCCTCTTTGTCTAAGAAAAGGAAGAAAACTGAAAAAGGCTTTCCCTCCAAAAGTAATCTCCAATCAGTCATGAGGTTAAATAATTTTAAAGCAATGGCATTTTCCTCAGCCTTGGACATTGTCTTCAGCTTTGACAAAAATGTTTCTTAGAATAAGTTTCTTTCAAAACATGCATATCTACTGGATGAGGCATTTTTAAAGATACAATTCAGATAGAAAACATCTGTTTTTAAAGGACAGCTTTAAAGTGTGTTTACCACATTCTCAAAGACAGTAATTAGAATACACATTTCCTACAATAGAATTCCAGTTTTTAAAAAGGCAGTCTTCCAGTTTCTTTAGACCCTACCTTCTTTGGTATCAGCCCATGAAGAAGGGGAGATTCAGGTAGACAATAGGAGAAATGTTTTCAGGTTGGATTGAACACAATAAAAAAGTATTTTTTCAAATTATGCAATATATAAATCTTTCATTCTAGATTAAATTCAGCCTCTAGCATCATTCTGGAATATAATTTTAGTGATTCATATATTAGGGAATTAGGAACCTTTCTGATTTCAGTTTTTTAAAATTTATTTTTATTGTTATTTACTTATTAATGTTTTTTGAGGCAGGATCTCACTCTGTTGCTCAGGCTGGAGTGCAGTGGTCCCATCACAGCTCACTGTAGCCTCTCCCTCCTGGGCTAAAGTGATCCTCCCACCTCAACCTCCTGAGTAGCTGGTACCGCAGGTTAACACCACCATGCCTGGCTAATTGTTTTGTTGTTGTTCTTGTGTTTTGTAGAGATGGGGATCTCACTGTGTTGCCCAGGCTGGTGTTGAACTCTTAGGCTCAAGAAATCCTCCTACCCTGGCCTCCCAAAGTGCTGGGATTACAGGTGTGAGCCAACATGCACAACCTGTTTGTTTTGTTTTGTTTTGTTTTGAAGCGGTTTTATAAAACTACCCTGCCAATATAACTAATATCCCATGGTCTCCCTTTTTTAAAAATGTAAAATTCTAGGTTCTTTACAAACTAAGCATTTTAGTAGTGAAACAAAGAAAAGTTAATTAGAAAAATCTTCGTTTTAAGACTTCTCCCCTTGAAATTTCATGTGTCCTTCATTTGTTCCTTTATCCTTCCATTCACTATGTAACATATTTATTGAATTTCTAATATGTGCCAGGCAGTGTTTCTGGTGGACCGAACAAAAATCTAGAACAGAAAAGACAGGATCTCTTTCCTCCTGGAGCGGGACATTCAGTACATTTTTTAAAGAGCTATAAAGAGCTATAATAACTGCACTTCAGAGTAAGCCCTACTGTAAACTTGACTTCAGTGAATAATAATGTATCGATATTGGTTCCTCAGTGATAATAAATATACTAATGCAAGATGTTAATAATGGGGAAGCTGATGGGGGGTACAAATATGCGTATTCTGCTTTCTGCTCAGTTTTTCTATAGAGTTAAAACTGCTCTAAGAATCACTCTAAAGTCAGTAAACAGGATGCTATTAGAAACAATAGTGGCGTGACAGAATTTGAACTGGAGAATAAGGAAAGACCTTTCTGCAGAAGTGCTGCTTAAACCCAGAACTAGAGAATAAGTGGGCTAGCCAGGCAAAGAGGAGATAGAAAAGCATTCTCAGTGAGGCAAAGTGGTATCATTTGTATTACCTTTGGAAATACCATTCTGGCTTCTCTGTGGAGGATGGATTCTGGTATGGTAATTAGGAGGAAAGTTGGGGGACAAGAGGACAAACAAGACGAGGCAATTAGAATGGATCACACCTTTTGCTTCCTACTCAGCAGAATCCTAAAAGAGCAGAATGACAGTAGGCTGTTTCCTTCGTTCAGCTCATGTCAGAAACCGTTAGGTTCGCCAAGATCTGGGTGCTAGGAAGAAAGGAGACTATCAGTAGCAGAGCAAGATGGGGTTTCCGGGTCTCAGTTTCTAAGATCTTTCCAGTGGTTCAGTGGGATTTATAGTTAAGAACGTGCGTGCGCGCGCGCGTGTGTATGTGTGTGACTGCAACCAGTTAAAAATTGCAAGGGAAAAAAGCTTTTCAAGTAACTAGAACCCAGCTGCAACAACAGCTTTCATAGAGGTCTGTAAGATTTAACTTGCAATAGTTATCTTTATTCCTGTGGACTATTGGAATTTATTTTGGATTTGTTTCTTCCAAGAAACAAAAAAATTGAAAAATAGTTGATGAGTCAACAAAGAGAAAGGTCCATTTAAGTAGAGCACTGTTTTAGCACATCAATATTGAATGGCTCACATCAGTTTCTAGGGATCATGAACTCCCAAGGAAAAAAATTCTAGCGGGCAAAAGAAAGTGCCTGCCAGGATAGATTTCTATTGATTGTGGAACTGTTACTAGCAGCATAGGTTGAATAGTTCACAGTTCTCTTTCCATTTAGAATTAAGCAGCTCTGAGTAATCCACTTCACCATTTATAATTATTTACCTGCCTATGAGCAAGATTTCCAAACCATTAACTATTTATATGCATTTCCTTTTACAGTAAAAAATTGTATATGATGGCCATACCATCTATACTAAAAGATACAATAACACATTGAAAAATCTTTAGCAAATGAGCATAATTTCGTAGCACTTAGCTATTATAATAATGACACAAAATGGTTAATATGTCTATATTACTCTCTAGATTTCAACTTTTTTTGTATTCTTGGAAACAAATTAAGAATCCCTCATCTGAGCAGACCTGTTGTTTTAGGAAACAGAAATGCATCATGCGTATAATTTTAAGTGGTCCAGTTATGAATATGGAATGAAGGGATAAAATAAAGTTTTCCACTCCGATGTCTCCATTAAGAAGCTCCTCTGTGTAAAATGCTCCACGGCAAAGTTGCTGCTATTTAAAGTAGTGAGTTTGATCCTGGCTTTGATCTAAACCTTTTGATCTTGAAAGAAGGATGGAGTAGCAATAAAGAAAGGGCGAGACAGATTTTTTTTAAAGAAATGTGATGAACTTAAAGGGATGGTCAAGACCAGCAAGCACCGGGACAACCCGACTCTCCGCCCCCGCCCGCCTTCACCCGCAGGCGGATTCTAGCAACTGCTGATGCACACGAGAAGGCCTTTGGCGGGTGAAGGAAAATCTTGGCGTATCGAACATTTTTGTAAATTAAGTGTAAACTTTCTCCCTAATTATGAAAACAGATTAACCCCTCCTTTTAAAATTCTACCCAGTGGCTCTGGGGGTCCACACGGGAGGGGGCGCAGGGCTGGGTTTCTCTTCGCCCCTGTGTCGCCCCCAGGAAGCCACCTGCCGCCGCCCGGAGCCCCGAGGGGGCCACTAGGAAACGTCTACTCGACGACGTAGAACCCGTTCCCGGAGAAAACTCCACTAGGAAAGTTACTTTCCCTCTGCGAAAGCCACCGGGACCAAGTTTCCGACCCGGGGAGCGCGTCAGGCTGGCCGCAGGCGTGGTTCCTTCCCCGCCTCCGCTCCCTCCAGCCTGCGGAGGGCGGCCCGGGCCCCTCTTGCTGATGGGAAGATGCTCGCGGGGCGCGGAGCCGGGGCAGGGGTGGCGGGGGCAAGGTGCGCGGGGCCGCGGGGCGCCCGGAGCCCGGAAAGGGTTGGCGGGGGCAAGGTGCGTGGGGCGGCGGGAGCTCGGGAGCACGCCGTTCGCGGGGAGAACAATACGACGCCGGCGCGGACGGACTAGCGGGCGGGGCGGCGGGCGATCTGCGGGAGGCGGCGCGGCCGCTATACCTTTAAGGCAGGCCCCGCCCAGCCCGGCGCTCGCCCGCCCGCCGTCCGGGCCCCGCGCCCGTCGCCCGCGCCGAGCCTGAGGTGATGCGGGTATCGGGCGGGCGCAGGGCGCAGACTCCAGCGCCCCTGCTGCGTCCTCCCCGGCCGCGGGCGAGGTACTGGGGGGGCACGGCTAATTGGCGGGCGCGGGGCAGGGAGGCCGGGGTCGCTCCCGCCGTAAACTTGACTGTGTCCCTTTCCCCCGCAGCCGCTGCAGAGGGAGCGCAGCGCCGAGGCGGAGTGCGGGCTCGCGCGGCAAGTGCGCGCCGAGGTGAGTGCAGGCGGCGCGGCCCCTGCGCCCCGGTGGCGCCGACGCGAGACCGCGGCTGGCTAGAGGCCCTGGCTCCGGGCTGCGGCGTACACCGCCGGGACGACCTGCCGGGCTCCCGCTCGGGCGCGGGGAGCGGCCGGGGCGAAGGTCGCGGCCCGTGCGTGGAGGCGCCCGACGAGTACTGCGGGCGGGCGCGGGTGGCTTCTCAAGGTTCGGGGAAGACCGGGTCGCGAGGGCGGGGGTGCCTGCTTTTTCGCGCTGGGGGGCAGCGGTCAGGACCCATTTCCTTGTTTGAAATGCTGTGATTTTTGAACCTCACTCAGGTCACGAAATGGATTCAAGTGAACCGGAGACCCCGAAAACGGAAACGCAGGGTGAAGGAAGAGGTGTTTGAAAAGGTAGGGTTTCCCGAGACGATACTCGGTGCAGGTCTCGGTAAATCCGCGTCTGCCCCCGAGGACCTGGTCACGACAATAAAGTAGCGTTCAACTTAAAAAGTTTTTGTTACAATAAACGCTAGATTTAATATATGGGGACATTCTGTGGGAATACTGGTCGATAAAGCCTAATGCCCATCTACATATTCTCATAAAGAGGGAATAACCCGGGAGATTTGTTTCGTGCTCATTAAATAGAGCAATAGGACTTAAGTGGGTTTCATTATTATTTTAGATCAGCAGTGTTTATTATCTCAGTGTTAAGGTACCTCTGAAAAATGGAAAAGTGTTCCGAATAAATCGCCCACAGTATTCGGTTTCCGTGCTGTACGTTTACTCACCTAGACTTTAAATTGGAGTCATCTAAGAAATGGAGAGAAGAAAAAAAAAAGGAACACTAGGAGAAATTTTATTTACTGTAAAGCAAATGAAAAATTTGTTTGCCTAAGTTTAGAATTTCAGTATGTTACTTTACAGAAGTTTGGACTGCTTGTCTTCTGATTTTGTATTAGAACTTGATTTGTCATTGTAATAAATATCAAGGTAAGTAGTCCGTTGTTTTCTAAGTGACTTGCGGAAAAGTCACTAATTTTTTGACAAATGTTACAGCAGATAGGATTTTTGTTGCTTTTGCTTAATTACATCTCACTGTTTTTTTTGATTCTTGATACCACCAAGGGATTAAAATAGCGGTGTGTTGTTTTTCTGCTGCTAGAATGTATGATGAATCACTCTTGATTCTGAAGCCAAATTCTTGCTGATAGCATTGCTGCCAACTTCTGTGCTGTGTTGCCTTAGTATGGGCATTGCAGCGTCCGAGAATGTGCACAAAGCGCATCAGAATAAAGGTGATCCCAGAACTGCAGAGTGCACTTCAGGATACCAGAGGGCAGTTTCTGAGAGACCTGGAAAAGGAACCAGCCTGCAAGTATAGTTGTTTGTAGCCAGACATTCAGTATGCATGAAAAGGGGGACCCCAGCCCTTTGCTTTTTCCACAGAGGGTCATAGATGTAACTTCAATTGAAGAATAATCGAAAAAGTTGTCATTTGGAATAGACTTGAGTTTTCTGACCATACCTCAGCATGGTATGGTAAGTTGTGTTTAACGTTAATGGTTTAGGTGTATTTTTTTTAATGTTGTGAGGTGATGAGTGGGATCATAAAATACCCAAAGAAGGAAAAGAATTTTGGCTTGCTTGGTATTTTTTTTTAAATGTGTTGTAGCTGTTATTTTATTTAATTTATTTTATTGTGTTGAGATGGAGTCTTGCTCTGTCGCCCAGGCTGGAGTATAGTAGTGCGATCTCGGCTCACCTCCGCCTCCAGGGTTCAAGTGATTCTCCTGCCTCAGCCTCCTGAGTAGTTGGGACTGCAGGCACATGGACCACGCCTGGCTAGTTTTTTCTATTTTTAGTAAAGAAAGGTTTTCACCGTGTTAGCCAGGATGGTCTCAATCTGACTTTGTGATCTGCCTGCCTTAGCTTCCCAAAGTGCTGGGATTACAGGCGTGAGCCACCGCACACGGCCAGCCAAAAATAAGATTATCAAAATGCACAATGTCCTGTAGAAAGGAAGGGGAAGCCATTATCTTTGTGAATTACTAGATGTCACTACCAAAATCTAACCTAGAAGTAACCGTATTTGTGACACCTGTGACCTGACCACTGGGTCCTCTGAGAACGGGGGTTGGGAGTAAAACGGGGACTGATTATTTTGCCTTGCAGGAGAATGAAGTTCTTTGCCCAACCATTTCCGCTTGATACAAGCTCCTGTGTTAGACCTTAGGGGGAAGATGAGCCTCTGGCTTTTTTCCTTGGAAAATGTGGGCAGCAATTTTAAAAAGAACATGAAAATGGAGTAGGTTGAAACCAACATTCAGAACTTCCTTTCATGGATTGAACTAAGCTGATGAGGTTTGAGGGTGGAGGTGAGGAAGGGCTAGAAGATAGGAAATTTCAGAGACATGTCAGAGAATATGAACTGTCGGTGTTTCCAGTGTTGCTCTTGGCTCTGCACAGCACTTCCAAGCCCATTTGCCCACTTTTTTTTGCCTCTGCCACACCTAGGAGAAGATTTTTGGAGCTCGCTGAGAAAAAGGGCCTTTCTCCTATTCTGAAATAGAAATTGAATTCTGTGATCATGAGTATTCATTCCGAGGTCCATGTGTTAATCTTTTGCTAGGATTTGAACTTGTTACTAGTGGGAGCCTATGTAGTTCGCTTACTGTTGAGTCTAATATGTTATTGTTTAAAACATCTGCCATGTCACAAGTAGAAGCAAATTATTCAATTTGTCTTTTTTCCTGCGTCCACTATATTTTTCTTCTATGTTAAAATAAAACTGTGGTAGTTTCTGATTTTATTCATTTTGTGTTAGTGTAAAAGAAAACGAATCTTAGTCATTTCTGGTAGGTGCCCATTTGAAATGTTGCAGTTGCTTTTATTTGTCTACTTTGGTTTCCTTGCTCCTGTTTTTCCACTCCACACTGCCCTTGCCTCCAGACCCCAAGGATCTGTCTACACCTTCAGGCCTCTCAGGATTCAGCCTAGATGAGTAAATTTGGTTAAGTCATCTGTAATAACTGTACTGGGGGTCGTAACATTTTTCCTCCAATAGTCGGGTGCAGCTTTTTTCCTGCCGTGTGGAAAGCAGAACCTTCTGACCTCTCCGAGAAAGGAAAACAGTGCTCTAGTGAGAGGCTGGACTCTGACCACAGGCGCTGGGCAAGGAGCTGCACAGTAGAACAGCATCTTCCTGGGATGTTTGTTTTCCCCTTAAAGAAAATCTCAAAGGTGCTGAGTGGTAGGCACAGTCTGATGTAATCTGAAATACTAGTTGAGTTTTTCAGTGAACTCTCAAGGGGAAGCAAAACAAACTAACCCTGTGCTCAGCTGCGGGTTAAAATAACGAATAGTGAAATAAAGTAAATTAGGGACTGAGACGTACCATGCAGATAAAGAGATTCAAAGTCTCCTGGCCTTTCCCTGCCTTCTGCTTCAGTCATCCTACCCACCAGAGAGTTGTGCCATCTTTTTGTGTTATCCTAACAGGCTTCATTTCTTATCTCCCTGAAGATGCATCATTCTCTCTCATGTATCTTTTCATATTTTCTGTGACATTTATTTCCATTTTATTTTAATCATTTTTCTCCTAGTATGACTGAATTGTTTTATATTGTTTTTCATTTTCTTTTATATTTGTTTTTCATTTAAAATCACAAAACTCATCTCTCTTCTACTTCTGGTTCTCAGGTATTTTTTTCTTCCATTCTGATACTGTTCTATTTTTTATTATTTCAAGTTCCTTTCATTTAGTTTGAATAAATTTTGCAACAGAAAAACACGGGAAATACGAATAACTAACAAAGAACAATTAGGATGATTGGATCAGCCAGCTCTGCAAAGGACAGGATGAACATTTGTGATTGCAACAGTGAATTTTATGTGGGTTTTTAAATTAATAGATTTTACTACATTGATGTTGGTTTTGGAAGAGGAACACACATTTTTTTTTCTTTTTAACCTTTTTTAGCTGTTTCAAAAATAAATACAAATTATGTGCCATCACAGATTAAGGAATGTTTATACATACACACACACGCACACACACACACACACACATTTAATACAAAGTTTTAGTAATTTTTTAAATATTCTAAAGATTAGAATATATAGTAGAATAGTCTTTTATGAAATAATATACATTAGGAAAATATGACTGGGATATGATTCCTTCAGAGGAAGAAAATTCAATTTTCAGATTCAGAGGAAGCACCCTTCCTAGTCTATACATACAGTAAGCAGAGAATGAGTTTTACAACACTCATTTCAGGTCTTCGGTAAATGTGTGTGATGATGGCAGAAGTATTCATTGGCTCACCTGCAAATCATTGGAAATTCAGCCATGGTAAGGTTGGCTACTACAGGCATTAGCGAGTGTGGTCTCTGCTGGGGAGAGATCGTCAGTCCTCTGTTAGGATTAGTCACGATCAACACAGTGCAAATGGTTTCCAATAACAGCGCCCTTCAAGGTTACTTTCATTATTCTTTTCTGCCAGAACCTGAAAAACAATACTCTTGAGCTACTCAGAATTCAAATTGTTGAAAATTTCCTGAAATTTACCTTCACATATTCAGAGTGAAACAAAGATCTAGAAGGATGGTTGTGAAAAGTATGGACTTTATAGTATCTGGTGGCCATTTTCATTGAGGCCAAATGATAAATTCTGTTTTCCAAGTCTTTAAGGGGATAAAAACCAAACTATTTTCCTTGTTATGATATATTCCTAAATTCTAGAGTATTTTCACTCTACTTTTATTTCATTAGTTCCTTGTACATACTTGACTCTGAACCCAAATCAATGATTATCTTAGTTTGAATAATAATTCACAGATTTAAAAAGTTGAATGTAAAATCGGTTTGGTTTGTGGATTTTTTAAGCATTTATTGTTCCTTTTAGATTTTATATATTGTAAGATAATACTTTTATTACAGTACTAATATTGAATTATTCAAAATGATAAAGGTAGGTACAAATTTCAAACTAAGTACTTCTATGTTTGTCTTTTGTGACAAAGGTGTATTTTATGTTCAGTTTATTGGTTCTAAAAACGAATATTAAGACTAATAAAAATTATTTGGCTCTTTCTTGTACTCAATACAGCAGATGGTGACTGTGGTAGGCTTGACTCCAGAGCCATCAGCACACAAAGCTTAGTAAAATGGCACAGAATAAACCTACGGAGTGCTGAGCCGAGGGTCCCTTCACTTTGTAGGAACTACCCCCCTTTCGGCAAGATAGTAGGCTTAGGTAGCCACTAGGCAACTGAGGCAATGTTGCGGTTAAATGCTTTCCCAGGCGCTGGTGCCCTTGCCTCTTTTTGAGAGTGCCCTTGCTCTGTGGGAATTCATGACTAGTCTACATTTATATAGCTGTAATCTCTTACAATAGCTTCATTGA